GGCCGCGGCTGGGTTTGTTATTGTCGACTCCGACTCTTCCTCCGCGGAGCACGCCGGGAAACGGCCAGCTGCGGGGGAGGGGCGCACCGGGAGGCGTAGGTTATCGTTTGCGCAGGACCGGAAGTCTGTAGGCTGCCGGGAAAGGGGCGGCTCCGCCTCCGGTGGCGTTGGGCTTGCCTGGCAACTTGGCTGTCCTGCCCTGACCTGGGAGGATTTTGCTGGTGTGTGCTAGTCGCCGTCCTGGCGCGAACTTCCCCAAGGTGAGTTTGACCTTCCTTTGGTACAGCAAGTAGGCCGGAGCTAGGGCAGACCCCTCCCCCCCGCTGAATTTTGGATCAGTCTCAGCTAAAAAAAGTTATTTCCCTCACCTATGGCGGGTGGAGAGCTAGACTACCCAGAGTTTGGGGTCCCCCATAATCTTGTTTTCAGGATAGCCCTAGGGTGGGATAAAGGCAACAGCATGAGTTACCTGGAGGTCTGTGCTCTTGTGGAGTAATTCTGCCACCAGGGCCCCCAACTGCTGGAACTGTGCCTTAGTGTCTTCTCAAGGGTCCGGTGGCATCCTTTTGTTCAGACCTGATAAGGCAAAGAAAACATCCCAGAGGGAATTAACGCTAGGTCGATTGGAATGGAATTGTAAGCGCTACCACTACCGGTTTTCAACTTTTAAAGTACTGAATACTTCAGTAGGTTAGTGGTTAACACTCAAGGACGGGAGAGAGTTTCGGGGGAATCCTGGCTCTGTGAACATAATCAGTCCCAAGCAGTGACTGGAAGCCATCCACAGAGCTCGCGTTTTAAAATCTGAAGAGTGAATGTTAAGCGTAGAATAATTATATAATACTTTTTAAATTCCTGTAATATCCAGGAATATCTGGTTAAAGTAAAAAAGTTCAGAGGTCAGACCTTTATGTCACCAGAACTTAAGAGTTGTCTAGCAGTAAAAGGACACCAAACTAAGCAAGGTTTGCTGTCTTTTACATTTATGGTGGATAGTGAAAACCACTGACTGGTAATCATTAGTGATTCCCAGTTCCCACCACACTGACCAGGTGTCTGAAAGTTAATAATGCTAGGCTGTGTTTTTAAATTTGCAGTACTACATATAAAATGTTGTCTGCAGAGAAATCTCTGTATGATCTTTGGCGTGTCATGTTGCTTGTTCAGTTTTTTAAAGCTGGAATTGTATCTCACCACTCCAGCAAAATAGAGCAGCAGTGAAAATTAAGCATTAAATTGCTATTATGCCTTAGGGAAAGGTGTAAACTGGCAAGTCTGAAGAAATCAGTCACAGCATAGTAATTAGCACATAGAAAATACTTCATAAGGATGATTTGGGCCATATATCAACCATGGGAAAACAACAATGTAAAACCTCTAAAGAACATATTGGTACTTGTTCTTCCTCTTAGTTTATCAGTGACATTCCTCATTACAGATACAATCCAACTTAAGATGTGAAAATTTTACTTACACCCATGACAATCTATTAATGTTTACTTGGTCTGAGTTCTATGAAAAAAAATTGATCTTAATTTTCTCTTAGTCATAGGATTGGCAAAAAAAAAAAAAAAATACCAGAAATGACTGATTCACACCTTATTTTACACCTCCATTGTAAATGTTTAGGTTGTATATGTCGGAAATTCTTTCCTAGAGATAAGTTAAAATGTGTTAATATTGATTCTGTTATATAAGTGTAAATATCTTGTTTTATTTTTTTTGGTACTAGGGAGTGAATCCAGGGGCACTCAACCACTGAACTGCATCCCCAGCCCTTTTTTGTATTTTATTTAGAGACAGGATCTCGCTGAGTTACTTAGTGCCTCATTAAGTTGCTGAGGCTGGCTTTGAACTCACAATCCTTCTGCCTCAGCCTCCCTAGCTGCTGGGATTACAGACGTGTGCCTCCACACCAGGCTAGAAATATGTTATTAATAGTGAGTACATGTGTCCATAGTATAAATCCATGTTTATTTTCCTTCATACCAAGCCTGCTGAATGCCCTCTGTCCTCTCCCTCAATAAACAAGGAAGGGGGCATCACATAACTAAATGAAGAGTGCTGAAACTGTTTTGAATTTTCTAAGTCATTTGCCATTATATCAGTCTCATATCTCCCCCTTCCCTTCAAAGCTGAATCTCCTTTTGTTCTATATCCCTTTTGGGTGCTCCTATGTCCTTGTCCATTTATTTGGTTCTCTTCCAAGTTCTTAGGTAATTGTAACACACTGTGAATAATGCAAAGATAAGGTGCTGGGTGAGATGAGAAAAAAGACACTTGGCATCTTTGCATAAGTATTCTTCTAATTAGTCATTTTAGATATTTTGGTATAATTTTAGTAAGAGCAAAAGAAGCAATTTCTTTAAGAGGAATCTGGAGGGATTATATAGGGCCCACTGATAAATACCAGAAGTACTTCAAATCAATTCAAATCTTTAAAATCCTATTTTTTCTTTAGGTCTCAACTTCAGTGTTGAATTGTCTTTCCCTGACATGCCTGCAATCTCAAGAAACTCACATTTAATCTTTTGAGTACCTGAACTGCTGACTATAAGCTATTTTTAAAAGATGAACTGTTTCTGCAATACCTGGTTCTACAGTGGTGTACATTCTATTAATAAGCATTTGTTGGTAGTGCCCCACGTCTTATTCAGGTCCTCAATTTGTACCTGTACTGACCCCCTTCTAGTCTCCATTATTTACTCCATCCAAGACTACTGTAACCCTGCCTCTTTCCTTCCTAACAGTCTTCACTTCCTTTTGGGTACTAGATACAATTTAAACCTCTTAGTGGCACAGAAAATGTCCATGATTAGGCCCTAGTCCATTTCTACAGTTTTATCTCCTGGTATCTTTCTCCTTTATACATGCCTTATGTAAATTTGCCTGCCTGGAAATGTTCTTGCCCACTTACTTTCTAAGTCATCCTTTAAAACAGCTTGGGCATTGGCAGCTTCCAACTTCTAAACAGACTGGTAATCATTAATCCTACTGTTCCATATCACACAACTGTAAATTTTTTATCTCCCTTAAATTCATGAAAATTTAAGATTAGGAATTCCCCCACACCCAATATTGGTGATAGAACTCAGGCCCTCACATGTGCCAGGTAAACACAATACCACTGAACTACATCACCAGTTCTTTTTGTTTTGATTTTGAGACAAGGTAAGTTCTTGCTAACTTGCCTAGGCAGCCATGAAGTTGTGGTACTCCTGCCTCAGCCTCCCCAGGTAACTAGGATTACAGGCATGTGCCACCACACTGATGAAATGATTCATTATTAACTTAAATTCCTAGAACATTTTGGGGAGCTTGCTACAGTTGACAGAAGTATTTTGGTATATTTGGTATAGCGTGGTGCCACATGCTTGTAATCCCAGTGTCTTGAGAGGCTGAGACAGGAGGATCACAGGTTCAAAGCCAGCCTCAGCAACATTGGGAGGCCCTAAACAACATGATGAGACTCTTTCATAAAATAAAAAAAGAAAAAGGGCTGGGGATGTGTCAAGCACCCATGGCTTCAATCCCTGGTTACTGTCCCCCACAAAATTCTAGAATGTAATAAGTACTGCAAATATTTATATTGAAGGCCACTAAATAAGTTACTGTGGGAAATTCTTGCCTTCAAATACCACAAAGGCTAGTACAGGGACCATTCAAAAAAATTTAAAGGAAAGTTTATGTGGCATTAATCCTTTACCAAAATACATTCAGGATATTAGGAAGATTGTAATACACCTCTTAAATTTTGCCAACTGTTCGATTTTTTTTATTTCACTTAGCATATGTGTTAGATATTTCTCTAACAACTTGGTGTCATTACACTCATTTTCTGTAAGATTATATTCAAAGCAGCAATCACAAGTCATGTAATTTTGCTTTATTCAAAGTATGAATCATAATTATTATGCATTTTTAAAGGATTAACAAGATGTACTGTTTCAGACTTTGTTTTTAAAATCAGAACTAATTTGGTGTACATGATCATGTGCTATTTAGAGGCTGTGAGCTCTATGATTATTAAGTTAATATTTACAATACCTTAAAGCTGCACTACGCAGTTGGTCTGTTGGTACTCACACATATTAAGGATAATGATGATAGTTAATTTATACATGACTGTTTTAAAAGCTAGTGAGCAACACTGTTTCAAATGCTACAAGAAAATATTTCAAAAAATTAATGCAATAGGTTGAGACAAAACATTTACAAACATTTTACACATTGAAAGAGATATCTCCTTAGCATCATTTTATTAGGTTCCTATTTTTCATTATTTAAGAGTTTAGCGGCTGGGGATATGGCTCAAGTGGTAGCGCGCTCGCCTGGCATGCATGCCGCCGGGGTTCGATCCTCAGCACCACATACAAAGATGTGTCCGTGGAAAACTGCAAAATAAATACTAAAATTCTCCCTCCCTCCCTCTCTCCCTCTCTCTCTCTCTCTCTCTCTCTCTCTCTCTCTCAAAAAAAAAAAAAAAAGAGTTTAGCAAAGTGTTCCACAGTACGCTGTACATGGTGTTGAAAACCTGTAATCCCAGCAACTCACTAGGCTGAGGCAGGAGAATGACAAGCTCCAAGGCCAGCCTGAGCAACTTAGCAAGACCCTCAGTAACTCAGTTACTGCACCACTGCACCCAGCTCTGACCTTAGTTCTTTATGACTTCTTTAAGGAAATAATTGCTGATCATTCTTTGAATGTATTTTGCTTTTATTTTCCTTTTAACATTTGTAGAAGAGCAATATAATAAAAATGTATGAATGGGGGGCTGGAGTTGTGGCTCAGTGGTAGAGCACTTGCCCAGCATGTGTGAGGTCCTGGGTTCGATTCTCAGCACCCATATAAATAAATGCATAAAATAAAGATCCATCAACATCTAAAAAAATATTTTTAAAAAATGGATGAATGAAGCCTACCAATTTAGCAAGACCCTCAGTTACAGCTTGTCTCAAAAGTAAAAAAGGATTGGAGAGATGTAGCTCAGTGGGAGAAAGTCCCTGGGTTCAATCCCCAGATCCATCCCCCAAAACAATTTTTTTTTTCCCAAAGTAGAGCTGACACTATTTCTGGAGTATCTTAAGGAGAAATACAGATACAGATGTTGAACTGACATCCAGGTGCTTGCCTGGACTACAAAAGATATTTGATTTAATGACACAGGCCCCAGATCTTGAGATTCTTTGCTATTGTTTTTGTTATTTTGATTGCATCTCAATAGTGGAGGGCATAGTTATTAAAAACAAAAACAAACAAAAAACAATACTACGTTACTGAAGCTTATAAAACACTTTTCATGGTGTCTTACATGCCTGATGTTGGCTTTAGATTGATAAACCTGTTTTGCTATCCTAACAACCCTACTCAGTTTCTGTAAGAGTCTTCCAGTTTTATAGGTGAAGAACTGAGGTATGGAGAGGTTATTACTGATTCATTGTATTTCCTTTAAGTTAATATTATTGTTGTTTTTGGTACCAGGGATTGATTGAACCCATGGATGCTGAACCACTGAGCTACACCTAACCCTTTTTATTTTATCTTTTTGAGACAGGGTCTCATTAAGTTGCTTAGGGCCTTGCTAAGTTGCTGAGCTGGCCTCAAACTTGGGATCCTCCTGCCTTGGCCTCGCAAGTCACTGAGATTACAAGCCTGCACCACTGCACCTAGCTCTGACCTTAGTTCTTTATGACTTCTTTAAGGAAATACTTGCTGATCATTCTTTGAATGTATATTGCTTTTATTTTCCTTTTAATATTTGTACAAGAGCAATATGATAAAAATGTATGAATGAAGCCTACCAAAGCTTTTTAAATACATACAAAATAAAAAGTTATGTGATTTTTTTCCTTTGTGTGTACATTGTCTGTATTTTTACCACTACATCTTTGAAAATGTATCATCATTTATAACTTAAAATGTCTTCTGTTATTTATCATACACAATTAAAGATTCTTACCCAATTTGTTTGTCTGTTTATTTTAGTAGCATCAGTTTTTACTTTGCTTCCCTTTGTTTTAGTCAATCCTACCTGATGTCCATGTGGGTGATATTCTTTTCCCAGTAGTCATTTTTCCTCCCAGTACTAGAGATTGGATCCACAGCCCTCTGCATGCTAGGCCAGTCCTCTACCACTGAGCTACATTCCTAGCCCTTTTTGATTTTTGAGTCAGGGACTTGCTAAATTGCCCAGGCTACCCTCCAACTTGTGATTGTTCTATCTCAGCTTTCCAAGTAGCTAAGATTAAAGATGTGCACTGTGCCTGTGATTCGTTGTTAATATGGTTTATTTAAAGTGGCATTAACAGTGCTTGGTGGCTCACACTTGTAATCCCAGTGACCCAAAGATACAAGAACAGGAAGATTGCAAGTTCAAGGCTAACCTCTGCAACTTAGGAAAATCCTGTGTAAAATTTTTTAAGGGCTGAAGAGGTAGCTCAGTATTAGAACATCCCTGAGTTCAATCCCCACTACTGCAAAAACTACAAAAACCACAGATTTGAATGTCTGGAACCTGGATTCTAATCCTATGTCAGCATTCCATGTTATGTTTCCTTAGTAGTCCATTCTTTCATCCTCTTTCCCATCAAACCGCACTATTCTCAAATCTACACTTCCCAATTCTCTCCTTGGTAAGTAATCTCTCTTCCGACATCAATGAGAAAATAGAATTTATGAAAAAAGAACTCTCTTACTTTTCTGCTGTGCAATCTGTAACTCGACCTAAATCTATTCTCCCACCAGTCCCTATTCTGTCCCTGTACTTAAGGTATTCGTGAGCTTTTGACACATTTTGCCATCTCATTTTGCCATTTTCTGGAACAATTTGGTAAGTGTAAGATTTAGTTCACATGTATGAAATGTGTTACCAAATGTAAATATCTTTAAAAGTGAAAGCTGCACATGGCCCATATCTGATTTGGGGGAGGTTGGGATTGCAGGATTCCCAACAGACCAGATTTGGCCACCTGTTACCTCAAGAAGCCAGAGGGATGAGTGGTGGTAAAGTAGGAAAGGAATTATTTCAATGTGGCTGTTCCAGAGAGTATTGTATATTCTCTCATATGTGACAGCTAAAAAAAGAAAAAAAAAAAAAAGTAGACTGGAGCCACGCACAGTAGCAAAGGCCTGTAATTCCAGCAATTTTGGAAACTAAGGCAGGAGGATTGCAAGTTCAAGGCCATCCTTAGCAATTAGCAGAGCCCTGTATGAAAACAAAAAGTAGGAATGTAGCTTAGTGTCCTAAATCTTGTCTTTGAAGGTACTGACAAGAGCTCCAGGTTTATATAAAGGAAAGACACAGTAGTGCAGGAGAGGGATAAGAAGTATGCATAGTCAGCAATATTGGTCAAACTGACCTCTGGTTGATCATTACCTCAGGTCAGCTCTGGGGATATGCTGCCTGTGAAATTGTAACTGCTTTCGGAGATAGTTGGGGTCCCATCATGAGATGATCTGCCTGCAAAGCTCAGCGTTCCTGGAACTTGAGATAAACTGGAGAAATAACCCAGAACAAGGCAGAAAGGCAAAACAGAATCAGTCCTGGGTTCTCTTAAAAATCTCCCATTTTAAAGAGTCCATGTTACAATAGGACCACCCAAAGCACAGGAAACAAGCAAAAATTGACAAGTTGCATTACATTCAACAAAAAGCTGCACACCAAAAAAAGCAATCACAGTGAAGATATAATGTATAGAATGGGAGAAAATATTTGCCAACTACTCTGGGTTAATACCCAGAATATATGAAGACCTCAAAAAACCCAAGTAATCCCATTTAAAAAATGAGCAAATGATCTGAATAGGCACCTTTTAATTTTTTAGAGATAGGGTCTCACTGAGTTGCTTAGGGTCTTGCTGTTGCTGAGGCTGGCTTGGGATTACAGGTGTGTGCCACCACTCCTGGCTGAATAGGCACTTCTTAAAAGAAGAAATACAAATGGCCAACATATACTTGAAAAATGGGAAATATTATTGCTACCAGGGAAATGTAAATCAACTCTAGTGAGATACAACCTCATGCCATTTAAAATGGCTATTATAAAAAAAAAATAAATGTTAGGATGTAGAGAAAAAGAACTCTTAAACACTCTAGGTGAGGGGCTGGGGATGTGGCTCAGGCGGTAGCGCACTCGCCTGGAATTCATGCAGCCCAGGTTCGATCCTCAGCACCACATACAAACAAAGATGTTGTGTCCGCCAAAAACTAAGAAAAAATAAATATTAAAAAAAAATACTCTAGGTGAGATGTAAAAATCATTATGGAAAACAGTATGGAAGTTTTTCAAAAAGCTGACAATTGATCTGCCACATGATCCAGCTTTCCCACTTTTGGGAATATACCAAAGGAAATGGCATGCGTAAAACAGACACCTGCACACTCATGCTTATTTTATTATTCACAATAGTCCCAATAGTCCCTTATGGCCAGGTATATGGTAAAATACATTGTGGTATGTATAAATAGTAGAGTAGTTATAAAGAATGATATGCTGTCATTTGCAACAAAATGGATAGAACTGGAGGACATGCCAAGTAAAGTAAACCAGACAGTCTCACATGGGGCAGCTAAAAAAAAGTGAACTTGAGACTAGTGCAGTAGCAAAGGCCTGAAATCCCAGCAACTCAGGTGGCTAAGGCAGCTCAGCCAAAAGTTTAAGGCCAGCCTCAGCAATTTAGCAAGCCCTCAGCAACTTAGCAGGACTGTGACTCAAAACAAATAAATAAAAAGAACTAGGGATATAGTTCAGTGATAAAGAACCCCTGGATTTAATCACTTGTACACCACTTCCAAAAGTGCACCCAAATAGAATTGTGATTAATAGTGATTGGGGAAGTTGTGGGGAGGTGGAGAGGGTCGATAAAGGGATGTTGGATTTGATCAGTACACAGTTGTGTGTATATGTGGAAACATCATACTGAACCCCATTTATATGTACAATTAACATGTCGATCAGAAATAATTTTTTAAGAAATTACTTACAAAAGAAAAATCAGCACCCAGTGTTCAATATGCTAGAATACCACTGATTCAGGAAAAGAAGATAAAATACACTAAGATGGAAAAGAAGAGAAATATAGGAGGTGGCATGATAGAAGCTCAGAAATTTGAAATGAGATAGGGAAATTAGAGAGTGGGCCAGAAGGGAAAACTGCCAACCTCTGGAACGAGATTAATTAGTTATATTTGTCATATTCTGCTTTTATTTTCTTGGTGTGTGTTTTGCATTAGGCTAAGATTTGGAAATTTATTACCTGTTCTTAACCACACATTTGAAAGAAGCTGCCAGGTAATGACTATTCTTTATTTGTCTATTGGTACTATGGATTGAACCCCAGGATACTTTACCATTGAGCTACATCCTCAGTCCTTTTTATTCTTTATTATTAGACAGGGTCTCACTGTGTTGTTGAGGTTGCCCTTAAACTTGTGATCCTCCTACCTGAGCCTTCCTAGTCACTGTGATCAGGGGCATGTCCACCAGACAGGAATTTTAAATTCTTCAAATGCTCCATAGCTTCAACTGTGCCTTGTTCTGATCCCCACTGACACAGAGCAACCTATTCTTCAGTGCCTTTTATACCTTATTTATCTATCACAACAAATTGCCATTTTACATGAGAAAGCTGAAGCTCAGGCTTGTTTTGTTTCATTTTTTGTTTGTTTGTTTGTTTGTTTGTTTGTTTGAGATATGGTCTTACTGGGTTTCCTAGGCTGGTTTTGAACTTGTGGGTTTGAGTGCTCCTCTTGTTTCAGTCTCTCCAATAGCTGGTTCTTTTCTTTGTTAAACTCTCAAATTTTAAAATTCTCAGTGGTACAATGAAAAAAGATAAGAACCTCTCCCATCAAAGTAAAATTCTCAGTAGCACAGATAATTTTTACTGCTCTCAAAACCCAAACCCTCAGTGTGATGGCACACACCTGTAATGCCTATAATCCCAGAAGAGGCTTAGGAGGCTGAGGCAGGAGGATCTCAAGTTCAAGGCAGCCTTAGCAATCTAGCAAAACCTTCAGCAACTTAGAAAGCTCCCCGTCTCAAAATAAAAAAGGTTCTGGGGAGGTAGCTTAGTGGTAGACAATATCCCCCCACACACACCCTGGGTTCAATCCCTAGTAGACTGCCTCTTTGTTATAATATATGAACTTGAAATTGAGCCTTAAATTATTGGTATTTTAACAAAACAGCCGGGCCAAATTTATTCTCAATTCAGTGTAAATATTAAATGGGGTGTGGTGGCGTTTAACTAGATGAAGCATCTCTGCAATTGAAAAGATGACTGAGCAGGTACTGTTTACATTTCTAAGTAGAAACATCAGCCTTGATATATACTGTTCCTTCAACTAGTGATCAAGGCTCTAAATTATGAAAAAATAGCCAGAATTTAAAAGCAGTGAAAGACTATTCTTTCCAACCAATCAATTTACCTCTCAGTTCTTGAAATGACAGCCAAGATAGGAATTTCTCCTTGTACAACAACTCCATCTTTCCCAAAACACTTCAGTTAGTAGTAAGCATATTAACTACAGTACACACCCAGATATTTGGCATGCCTTGCAATCAGTGTCCTACTCATTGATTTGCTTGTTTATTTACTCAGCAAACATCTACCATGAATCAGGCACTCTGACAAGATTCTTTGTCTATTATCCCCTATTGTGTTCACACCTAATTATATTATATACATGTAGTATCCTTTCTCACACAGCCCATAATCCCTTTATGCTCCTCTCAAACATTTCATAACTCTTGAATAGAGAACATACCTAGGGCCTGACCTTAAGCTTTTAAAATAGTATTGCTGGGAACAGTGACACACAAATATAATCTTGAGTGGCTCTGGAGACTGAGGCAGGAGGATTTTAAATTCAAGGCCAGTCTGGGCAATGTAGGGATACCCTATCTAAAAAAAAATAAAATAAAATAAAAAGCTGGGATGTAGCAAAGTGGTACCACAGCCCAGTG